CCCCTCTTAAAAGAAAAGGGGGGCCTGCGCCCCTCCCCGGGGGAGGCCCCGTTTAAAGACAAACAATGGAGGCTTAAAAAATTTCTCTGTGTTTAAGCAGACCAAAACGGACCCCTGCGCCTCCATCTACGAGGCTTACAGTGACCCATGCTGATCTTTGTGTGTGTGTGTGTGTGTGTGTGTGTGTGTGTGAGAGAGAGGGAGAGAAACAGAGAGAGGAAAGAAAGAAAGCATGAGCACATTCACTGTACTTATTGTTTTCCTTGCTCCCAGGCAGCTCCAGGCACCTCGGCGTGTGCGTGCGTGCGTGCGTGCGTGTCTGTGTGCGTGTGTGCGTTTGTGTGAGGGGAAGTAAACGATGTGTGCGGCTGTATCTGGAGAGCCTCCAAACCCCCCTCATCTCCTCTCCTCTCTCCTCCTTCTGTTCTCTCTGCTTGGAGGATCTGTCAGTTCTCCTTCTCTCTCTTTGTCCCGGCTTTGATCCTGCTCTCCAAGCCTTGGCTGGCCTCGCTAACAGCAGCTGAGCACAGGTCCTACTCCACTCCCACTAATAACACACATTCATGCCACGCAGGGAGGATGCATTCGCGCACACACATACGCACAAACACGCACACACATAAACGCTCTCATTTGTTGTTCCACTTACTCCCCCTCTCTGCTCTCGCACACTCCAAAATCTGTAACAGCTCCGCTCATTCAGTGCTTTTCTGTAAGTTGTCAGAGCTTATCGCTTTCACACAACCCTCTGTTTGCTTGTAACCCCGCGCTCACACTATGAGCAACTTGGGTGATGGGTCACTCTATTCTGACCGACTGTGGGTAGTGCAAGAGCCTCTGAACGCATGCCATGTAGCCGATTCTGGTAGATTCAGTATATATTTTTTCACTGGCAAATGCAGGCTGTTACACGGCTTGTTATTGATTGACATTAGTGACATTAGTTTGCAATCGTCGCCTTCTTATACTTTTCTTATACTGGTTCGTTGCTTCTTTTTCAGAAACCATAACTACCAACAACAATTCCAGAAATCAGAAGAAACATATAAGATATATAGACAAGTTTTCCATTTACACAGAACAGAGCCATCAAGCTGAATGAAGAATGATGAATTGAGATCATAAATACGTAACACACGCAACTATTCACCAGCATCTTCACTCCTGCGCTGTTGCACAAAGTTGTCGAGAACGAGGCGACAGTTGACTGTTTGCGAAAAGCTTCTTGTGTCGTTTCCAAGCTGCAAAGTTCATAGGCTGTTGACACGCAGTGACTGTGCACACATTGGCCTCTCAGCCCCGTAGGAAATGAAAGGACGTCTGGTGACTTGTTGACCATGCCGATCACACCGCGAACTGTTGGATAAGTCCAGTCACTCAACCACAGTGTGGCAGGCTCTTGGGAAAGCCGGCTGCGTCAACACAGTGCCACCCTGAGTTTGGCAGCGGCAGCCAGATGACACCTCAGGGCTGGCCTTGATGCGTCCTGTCTGACTGCCGGCTCGTACTTCCTCCTCCTTTTGCCAGCCTGTAATGAAGCTTATATGCCAGCATAGGCATTTAAACTTCAACTCCAAAGCCCTAAACACGCACACAGACACACACGGCCACACACACGCACACACACTGTCAACCATGGCACCCTCGTGGCATCGGGAGTGCCTACTGGCAGAAGCTCCTTTCACCAATGGCTTACACATTAAGGCATGAGCAGTGGGTGACAGCCGGTTTTGCGAGCAGAGTATCCCACACTTTCACAAACACAAGGCGCACAATCTCCCTGCCTAATTGCATTATTGCTGCGTTATTGCGGTGTGTGGAGGTCAGTGGGCGAGGGGGCTCAATAAAGATATGAGGCCTGGGAAAGACAAGGAGCGGTGGAATGAAAAAAGAGGAAGAGGGAGATAAAAGGAGGAGTGAGGTAAGGAGGGGTGCTATAAAAAGAGAGATAAAAAGAAGAAGAGAGGGAAAAGATCAAGCGGGGTGAGGGGCAGGGGGGGGGGTCGGTGAAGTGATAGAGGAGAGGGGGGGGTCACAGGTAAAAAGAGCGTGAGAATTCGGAGTAAGGACGGTGTGTCCAAAATATAACATGCAAAGCACTCATGCTTGTTTACTTTCCTGCCTGCAGGGCAGACTATTTGTCTTTTTCATCAGTGAAGTATCTCCAAACAGTCACCACGTGATCAGACGCTTTCACAACGGAGAGCTGTGTTCCTTTTTTTTAGTCCGCCTGTTTTCCCACAGATTTCTCGCCCTACAGGAGTTGAGACATGGCAACAGGTAACACTCCGGGGACCGACGGCCTCCAGGTGCACCTGGTAGACCCAAAGCTCCGTGACTCACCGGCAAAGAGACCTCCTGCAACATGAGCGTGAGAAAGTCGCTCAGGCGGAGAGCGATTCAAAACCAACACTGCTTCACATCAGCACGTTTGTTTTGGAGCCCCGTCAGTGCCATTGTGCGGGGGGAAATGACTCAGGTGTGCAGCGCACAACAATGAGATATGTTAGTGATGTGTTTGACATGGGAGCGCTGTGGCGCATAAAGCATGTATGGGATTAGAACTGGTTAAGGCACAAGTTCAGACCAGACTGCCTCCTGCCAAAAGTTTGCAGGACGCGTGTGTGTCTCACTTAAATCCTAATTTTAACCAGCCATTTAACGAGAACTCGTCTTTGGATGCTTAAATATGGTCGATTCGATCTCCACAACAGCCTAAAAGCGGCGTCGCCAAATCGTGGTGTGTTTATATGCATTAATGTGTCCAGTCGTCCTTATTTAAACAAACGCTCTATCCGTCAGATCCCATAATGCTTGCTTGTGCCAATTACAGTTCCAACAAATCATAATGTACGACTGCGTGCTCCGGTTCCGTCTCCAAGCATTTATTAACTCCATTCCAGCGCCTCTCGCGAGGTTCAGCCGAGGTTTTGGAGCGGCGCGCAGCTCAGTGTTGCCTATCAAATTCGCGATCTTGCGGCCAGGCGCCGGCGACGCCCCGCAGATCCAGGCGGCAAGCCGGCGAGAGGAGCGCCTTCCCCCGGTCGCCTGCGCGCCACGTGTCGCGGTCTCCGCAGCAGCTGGAGGTGCGTGCGCTCTGCGGAGAGTCGTGCTTCCAGCTACTTGGGAGTAGAAAATGAAGTAGATCGTAATGGATGGATTTTCCCCCGTTATATCAACACCCATCGACACGTTTGTATATTTGTCAAATAAACTCGAACGTGTTGAATGTTTGACGGTGGTTTTTTTTGTTTTGTTTTTTTTAACTTTTATTCGGAAAAAGTGAGCCAGAAAGTAGAGTTCCTCGAGGGAAAGGAGGCTCACTTGTTTGTTTCTGAAATATAGAATATCGATGATGTTTTAATCGGTCGACTTCAGTCTTTTCTTGGTGAGGAAGTGTTCTTTTTTTTCTTAAATTAGTAAAGTTCAGTGAAAGAAAACACAGTAATATTCGGGGAGGAGGCCAATTATCACCTCGGTCTTCACACTTTTAATACCCACAGGACTCCTAAACACAGTGTATAATTTAATTATAATTTGTGATCACAGTCAATAAAAAGTATTTTTTTGAAGCTCTTTCTTTCCTCGGCACTGCTCATTGCGTCTCTCCGAATGCAACAACGATAATTAAACGAAATCAGGACGTGGAATCTTTTTTTTAAAAGCCTTGAACGCTGTGGGGCGACCATAGGCGGGGAGGAGGAGGAGGAGGAGGAGGTGGTGGAGGAGGAGGAGGCGGCGGCGGCAGCGGTCTGATCGTGTGAGCTCTCCGGGCTCAGAAATATCTCTGCTCTGGCTCACATTCCGATAAGGGAGCCCGCTCCAGCTCTCTCGCTGTGGGCGTGGTTTTCCCAGGCTTTTAAAACAGCAGCTGCTATTTACCTTCCCCTCTAATGTAAACCACCGCCGCCGCCACATACCCCTCCCCCTCCTCCCCCCCTCCCCCCCCCTTGGCCCGGCGGCCCCCCGGCAGCCCGGCGGCCAAACCTCCAACCAGCGCCGCTCATAAAACATCCTGGCACGTGCTCCACATTCAACAACACCGACGGGTGATTAAATGTCAAAACGTGCACCGCAGAGTCGGGACTCGCGGTGGTGAGCGGCGCGGAAACGGGAGTGTGCGCGTTTAATGTGATTTCCTTCCCCCCCCCCCCCGAGGGGAGGCTAACTTTAACATTTCTCCGTGGGACGTAATCGGTCGTTTTTGGAGGCGACGCGTACCTCGCGTGGGTCTCATCCCGTGGCTTTGAGTTGCAAAAAAAACCCTGTTTCATTTACTAATGTCACCACAGCCTGACAGTAACTGTCTGCGACGTTTAGTAGAAAAGAGAACGCAACTGTTGCCGCCTGCGCCTCCAATGCCACATGACTGAAACTGTGATTGCCAAACGACTCCCCACTTCCCGGTCGTGGTTTTTAAACGGCAAATAAGCAGAACCTCCTTTTTTTCCATTTAATGCAGGATACCTACATTCAACGAAAGCAGGAGGGCGACTCTTGTGTGAACGGGCCAAACCATAATCAGCCCAAATGACTTTGATTGTGGGTGTCGAGTGAGATCATCATTATGGTGCTGTTAAATGCAAATGTACAGTATTTATAACAGCTGCTATTTTGTGTATTCCGTGTCATTATGTTTTCTGCTCTTATCTCCTGTCTGGGAGATTTAAAAAAAAAAAAGTCCCCCCCTTGGCCGCTCCTGGTGGCGATGCCAGTCAGCGGCCGCGCTGTTAATATGTAAACGGTACGATGATTGAAGACTGCAGGCGGTTTCCCCGCGCAGGAGCCCCGAACCCGGGCCCCGCACCATTGGCCGTCGGGCTCCTGCGCGCCGGACAACCAATGGGAGGGCGCCGACCACGAGCCGTCCTCCCTTGGGCCGCGTGTCCCTCGCCCTGATTGGTGGAAAGTTACTGTGGGAAAGAAAGTTGGGGAAGTTTCACACGAGCCGTTCGCGTGCAGGGCGAGGTATAAATAGAAGCCACACGCGGGCAGACCGACAGAGAGACTCTGCATCCGCCCGCGTTATCTGCCGCTGCCGCCGCCGCTGCCGCTGCCGCTGCGCGTCGCTCCAACGGATTTTAACTTGATACCATACAAATCTCAGGATTGTTTTGAGGGAGAGGCGGCTTTTTAATATTGAAAATATTCATCATCCGGGTTCCCCCCCTCCTCCCCACACCACTGGATCGTAATTTGCTGTGGTTTTGTTGGATGTTTCCGATAAGAAAAAATGCCTTCCGATATGATGGAAAAAACGTCCTCTTCTCCGGTCGCTGCAACTCCGGCAAGCATGAACACTACTCCGGATAAACCCAAGACAGCATCTGAGCACAGAAAGGTTGGTATAATACATGTCCCCTTCCTCTTAAAAACATTTCATTTTGGACATCATTTTGGAGAGACTCCACCTTTCAGGATGGAACAAAGTGAAATCAAAGATGCATTCAGCACAGTCAATCTAATATTTTATTTTTTATTTTATCTTCAGTCATCCAAGCCAATAATGGAAAAGAGGAGAAGAGCCAGAATCAACGAGAGCTTGGGGCAGCTGAAAACTCTCATCCTGGATGCGCTCAAAAAAGATGTAAGTACTCACTTAGCGTCCCGGTTATTATTAGATCTCAAAAAGGACCCTGTCAAACATCGGGGAAGCGAGCTCGTAATCCTAACCATGTGTGTCTTCCGACCTCTCAGAGCTCAAGACACTCCAAACTGGAGAAGGCGGACATCCTGGAGATGACGGTGAAGCATCTCCGGAACCTCCAGAGGGCTCAGATGACCGGTGAGTCTCATTTTCCGGACTGATCTCCCCCAAGACCGCGCGCTCTGGGCCGGTTCCAACCATCCCGCTGTGCATATCAATATCCCGAGTTAAATATAGTTTTTTTTTTTTACCCCCCACAGCTGCACTGAACACCGACCCCACTGTCTTGGGAAAGTATCGTGCCGGTTTCAGCGAGTGCATGAATGAAGTCACCCGGTTCCTGTCCACCTGCGAAGGCGTCAACACCGAGGTCAGAACGCGGCTCCTCGGCCACCTGGCCAGCTGCATGACCCAGATCAACGCCATGAACTACCCCAGCCAGCATCAACACCCGCACCAGCTGCCCTCCGCCGCCGGACCGACCCACCCGTCCTTCGGCCAGTCCATGCAGATCCCCGGCTCGTCCCCGCAGGTCCTGCCCATGAACCCGGTGACCTGCAAAGGAGGCTCGTCGCCGGCTAGTTTGCCGTCGGACGCCACCAAAGTGTACGGCGGTTTCCAGATCGTGCCCGCCACAGACGGACAGTTTGCGTTCCTCATACCCAACGCGGCTTTTGCGCCGAACGGCCCCGTCATCCCCGTTTACGCCAACAACGCGGGCACGCCGGTGCCCCTACCGGCCGCGGTGTCCCCCGGAGCCCCGTCGGGCAACGCGGACTCGGTGTGGCGACCGTGGTGAGAAGTTGGAAATGGGGCCACAAAGACTTAAAAATGACACTTAATAGTTCTCTCTCTTTGTTCATTGTTAGAAAGTTGTTTTGGATCTTTTTTTTTTCTCGTAAAATGGAAAGAGAATGCACTATATTTGTAAAGCCAACTGGGGAGTAAAGTTCATATTGAAATGAGATTTGTATTGTGGAAGTCCGTTCACTGCATTTTTTTTTATATATATATTTGATTGTCTTTTTTTACTGTGTGATGCCAAAGATATGTTCGATGCTCTTATGATGTTCTTCGTTTTGGAAGACAAATAAATTTGTAAAGATATTGAAAAACACGCGCTTGAGTTGTTTGTTTGGGGAAACTAAAAAATATCTGCTTATTATGTGAAACATAATATGAATCTCCTCCTGTTCATGCATGTTATTTGTTACTTGAGATATAGAATGTACTTGTGCAGAACATTCATGCTGTTAGGTCATACTCACTTTTGAGTGTGCTGTTCAAACTCAACATCAACAAGTGTTTTGTTGGGTCAAAAGTGGACATAAGAGAGATTATAATGTTGAGCCTGCAGCTTCAGTAGCAACAGGTAAATATGAAGTATATCTGGGTATTCAAGACTCTCCTCTGTAGTATTTGTTTATGGGTCACTCTGCAACAAATGGGCTATTACATATAGAATCATTTTAGCAAAACAACCGTTCATGCTCAGTGTTACTGAACCTGCTGTTGTAATTCTGTTTCCTCAGTAATGGAGTCAGGAATGAGACTAGCTGTTTAATTAACAATGCAAAGGAGTTAAACTACCTACTGCTAATAGGCCAGCGGTTTCACATCTCATGGTGGAAACGTGAGACTTACAGAGGTCACTTACGCCATCTAGCAGTGCAGAAGGGCATTGCAGTGTGATCAGTGTCATAAGTCAAGGACTGGAGCAGAAGTGGCTCCTGTGGTTGAGCTTTCTAGAATAGTATCTGGCTTATTAAAGAAATGCTTATGGAAATCTGAACATATATTTCTTGTTTTTCTCTATCTCAGAGACAGTATTTTTTTTGGAGAGCCTTTGGTATCATCTGTGGGTAAAATAAGTTTGTCCGACCAGCCGCTTCAGGATTTGATAGAAACACGTGTCACTTGAATCACTCTCTCTCTCTCTCTCTCTCCATTAAAAAGCTGGATAACGGAACTCACGGTCAAGCGTCAATTTGAAGTGATCAAGCTAAAAATGCTAGAAACTCACCGATCATGTCAGCTTCAACGTAAACGGCCGTATTCGTCTCCTGAGAGCACGGAGCCGGGAGGAGCCTCTGGCTGTGTCTTTAATCAGGGACGATGCCAGTGATGCTGGGCTGACAGCAGAAGGACACGTTAACCACCTAGCCGCGCATGTGGTAGTGCTCCGCGCTGCCCAGGTGCGTGTGCCCCCCTCCAGCGATCCGAGTGTGGCCTTTCTTTGAAGGGGGTGTGGGGGTGGGTGCAGGTGTTTGCAATTATCAGTGCGCTAAGAGGCACAAAGTGTGGATAAGTGCCATCATTTTGAATTTCCATCACACCTTTTTACGGGGGGGGGCATGCATCCCGGTTTGATTGAAGCCATGTGTGTAACCGTGCCTGTGCGTGTGCGTGGTTGGTGCAGGGTGTTGGGTGAGGACATGCCTGGCCAAAGGGCACGATGGGTGAGGTAGTGGAGAGTTAAGTGTTGAGAGGAAAAGGGGGGACGGCGGGGGGGTTCAAGGAAAGGCCTACCGCACAGGATAACAGTCGGTCTCCTGAGCGGGAGCTTCTCCACTCAAACAAGCACAGTCGCGCACACACCTACACACAAAACGTTCCCACAGCATTCCAGCTGTACTCGGACCAGTGTCGAGCTTCCTGCCCCTGGGCCCCGGGGCCACAGCTGGACGCAGGACGTCTGGGAGGCACGTGGTGTGACCCGGAAGACACCCAGCTGCCGAGCCCCTCCCACCCCCACCTCACAGCCGTTCGACCCCCCCCACACACCCCCTCCCCCACCCCACCCGCACCCACAGACATCTTCAGAGGTCTCTTCCCCTCTGGAGAAAAGCTTTACGAGCCTCTCCAATTACCCAGAGCGCTGGCCGAGCTGCCGGAGTGACCGCACACATGGCACAACACGACCGGGGGGGTTAGCTGCCATGCGTGACCGTTAACTTTTCCCACACTCCGCGCGGATGCAGGTAGCGAGAGGAGGGAAGAAAATCCCCCGTGCTTCCTCCTTGGCTTCCTAAGTGCTACCATATGGTCGGCTCTCTCCCTCTCTCCCTCTCTCTCTCTCTCGTGGTCCTTCTCTCTCTCTCTCTCGTGGTCCTTCTCTCTCTCTCTCTCTCGGCCCGTCACTGGGGCTGTCTTTGATTGCGGCCCAGACAAGCGAGAGCTTTATGATTTAAGCCCAGGGCTCGCTGTACCAAGCCCTGGACTCATTTAGAAGCCAAACTCCTCTCCCTCTCCCTCCCCTCTTCAGCCCCCCCCCCACCTCCTCCTGCAGTTGCAGGGGAAGGCTAGTTTCTGGCAGGAAATGAATAGCTCCCAGATGAGCGCAGGAACTTGAGAGGTCGTGAGAAAGAGGCGAACCCCCCCTCCACAGGCCCGGCCTGCTGCCAGCCGCCGGGGGAATGTGGGAGAGCGCCTCTCTGACACACGCATCAACCCCTCTGCCCTCCACCACACCGCCTGACTGACTGCCTGCCTGCCTGCCTGCCTGCCTCCGCGCTGGGCGCCGAGCCTGGAAATAGACTGATAGACAGGGCAACCGCCACCGAGCCCGGCAGCACGGCTCGTCAGCCAGCCAGCGGAGCAGCCAGACAGGGAAAGGGAAAGCTGTGGGAGGGGAGAAAGAAGTGTCGGGTCTGTGTGGGGGCGGAAGTGGATCGCTGTGTATAAGCATTCGGAATCCCGATGTAGGCATACGGTATTATGGAAAGTTTGATTTTCAAGCTCAGTGTACGTATAACCTTGACTGGGCGTATGCACTTATTTTGTCTAAAGAAACACACGTTTATGAGCTCACCCGCATGCTTCCCTTCTTCTGTCCCGGAGGCATGTGCGTATTTAAGAGTTCACTCAGACAGGTGTTTCTTGTCAGGAGCAAAGGGGTTTTTCCCCTTTGGTTCCCCGTGTGCTGAACTAACATTTATTCCTCCTGAGGTTGACTCGCTGTTATGATTGGACGTTGTCAGAAGTTTAGCTGCAGCTGTCTGGGCGTATTCTAGGATATTTTTAAATCATTGTTCTGCATGAGAGTGACATGTTGAGATAAAGAAATTAGAAACTCAAGGCCAGAAATTGTATTTATGAAACAAATGCACATGGTTCTGTGAATTGGCTCAGAGACATAACAGCTTATGTAGAGCAGCGGTTTCCAACATGTTTGGCTTACGACCCATTTAAACTCAACAATATTTATTTATGACCCGCAACACCGGTCATGTCCTCGGTTGTGAGAACACTTCACCTAACATAAAATCGAGATCATTATTTTGCATTAACAAGGTTTAACTGATGGTTGAATTGATATACATTTAATCACCCCTACCGTCTCACTTATTCATAAAAGCTGCAAAATCCAGGGAACCTGAGTTATGTGTAATTGTGCGGAGAAGGACATTTGGGTTACATGGAACCAATCTCCACTCCACTATGTTTGGACTTACTCATGGGACTTGTTTGGTCCTCTGTTCTGCAGCGCACACAGTGACTCGGCACCCACTATACAAGGTGTACCCTTCTTGCTCTTCGGACTCCCAATCGCCGCATCTTTCTCACTCACACACAGTCTTTTGTCTCTGGAACACTCCAGTTTGTGCGAGGCTCCTATGGTAACCTGTGGGCCTCGTAAACAGGACAAGCTGTCCACACACAATTCCCAGCAGTGTGCGTGCCCACTTTCCTTGGCTCACCATGCACGGCAACAAAAAACCCCACCAGAGGCTCCCACCACCAGTCCATTCAAATGTCAGCCACCTCGTTTGAAGTCGCAGACTGCTATGTAAATCTGCAGTGTTTCTCACCAGCCCAGCCTCTCACACACACACACACACACGCACACTCAAAAACAAGAACTCTAGCAAAGGTCGTCCTGTGATGCTGGATTATTGTTTCTTTTATAGTCTTCAGCCTTTAGAAGCAGTTTTTCTTTTATCCCTACCGCCCATCCTCCCAGTTTTGGTTCGTAAACATGTTTTTGGTGTATGCTCACAGGGCACGGTGACTTGAGGAGAGCAGGACGTGGCAACCATACGAGGCCGTCAGTTACAAAGTTGGCACATCCCCCAAATCTGGGCTGTGACAGAGATGACCCCTTCACACTGCGCCTTTGTATGACCTGTCCTCCAGTTTCTCTGGAACCCAGGGCCAATTGAGTGGGAGGGTCCCCCCCCCCCCCCTTCTCCTCCCCTCAGAGACCATCACAACAAACAAGTAGACCAGGCAAACAAGTTCCCACAACACCAACGTCCAAACAACTGCCAACGGTGACAGTTTGGTTGCTTTTGATATCCCACAAAGAGGTGCTTCATGAAGCACTTCTGAGGCTCTTTCCCAACCTTAGGGTCAGGGCCCCCCAGAGTTGTCCCGAGAAAAACAGGAACGTTAATGAAAAACAACACACACACTTTTTGATTGGGTAAAATGTAAGTACGCATAAGGTATTAACACAAACCTGTATTTCTTAAGTTATTCAACGTGCGCTCTAGAATTTGGGGTTAGGTGAACTCAGTTAATTCAGACACATCGCTTCAATATTTCATATTTATTGGTGTTTTGCGGGTCCTAAAGAGCCATAATTTCTTGAAAAGCGTCACTGTTTTCAGCTTTGTGACAGGTTATACACTGAGTCTGTTTTTTTAGCTTTAGACATCGGGAGAACTTCTCACTCTATGTAGGAATAAGTCCAACGTTTCTAAAAAATGTTAAATCGTCAAATTTGGGGATAGATGGAACGGTGCTGCCATTGGCCAAAAAAAATGGTTGCTGTTTCTATTGTCAGTCTCGAAAAGAAAATCAAAGGTCAGCCCCAGTTTCTTGTGCATACACTAACACTATGCAGCTTCAATCTGGTCGTGTGCCACGTGTACGCTTCCATATGTGGATGGACAGGATGTTGAGATGGTCTGCTGCTGATAGAGGCTACATTAGCTACGTGCTCTGTCTGCAATGTGTCTTCATGTATGTTTGTGAGCATGCTTGCAGCTTGCCAACATCTACTTTCACATTACAGCATCATTTAGTGTGGGGTTTCGCCTCACTTTACACTTGCAAGCAAAGGCTGTGATCAATTAACGTGGCCAGCAGGAGAGCGAAACACACCCCTAACGC